CTGGGTACCACTCTGGGGTAGCTTTACTCCATAGGGAATATGATGTGTGGATGAAGGGACCATTGTCTTAGCAGGCTGCAAAGAAACTAACTTACTACATGTGTACCCATCAGGATGTTCAAGTTTTAACTTTAATACTGACCATAGACAATGCCTAAATTGTGACTACAGTAATAAAAAAGGAGTATTGAGTCTGTATGCAAAAATAATGCAGTTTGATTCTTACTGTATAACTTCTGAGAAAGAAATCATGTAATGGGAGAATATGGGAGTTTCTGCTGGCTGATTATGGCCACATGGAAATTGTAGGACAAGAATCCAGTGGAACTAATTCTATCCAGAGACAGCAGTAGTCTTCCAAGCACATCCTCATCAAGCACCGGTCCCATGTATTCAGGAAGTGACAGAGGCACTTGTTAACTTGTCCCATATATTATAATAATCTGAAGTTATATTACGTGTATACATTTGCTGATTGGGTAGCCATATTTTCGTAAGGTCAACAGTAGTTTATGTAATATTGCAGGATGCCATTATGAATTCTCTGCAAACAGTACTGTTACTCTCCTAGCAGACAAGAGAAAAAGAGAAACCCCGATAAAAAAGCCTAAAAACATGTTAGAAATACACCCAAAACCCAAACCTCTGCTTGGAGAGTACAAACAGTCTCAATCTAAACTTTGAGCCATGACAAGATGATTGAGTTTTTTTAACATCCACAAAAATAACCTTTACCTATAATTAGTAATTAGTGGGGAAGAGATGCACATGGGCAAAAAAGAAGAGGTCGGAGGGAGGGGGGCATTTCAGCAAAGAACTTGATAACAATTTGCAAGGTCATTAACTGATAGTTTCTTGTTCCAATTTGCTGCGTGGAGCAGCCCTCTATGGACCTTTATTTCCTGATTGAACCCGATTGAACCCCCCCTGTTCTATTTCGAACACCTCCGTCAAACTCGGTGCAGGAAGGGTCAAGAGTGTATTAAAATGCATGGATGCTCCCTCTTGTTTTAACAGTGAGACTAAATATATGACATCGGATGCACTTTCAACTGAATCCTTTGGTTGTCTGTCAGTATTGCATTGTAGGTGTTGGCTTGCTGATGTTCAGTCTGCATGTATCACAAAGACCCTAAACGTTTCTCTATAAGTTCCCCACATCCTCTATGAGTACCCAAGCTGTAACAAGGTTTCCCTCAGAAATGGGGTCTGGCTAGCCTTGGTTCCAGACCCATAGTACACTGGACACAAAATATCTCAGTGAGCCAGGCTCACTGACGATATTTTGGTGTCCAGTGTGCTATGCGTCTGGAACCCAGGCTAGGTACCTAGCTTGCTGGTGCCAGATGAATTACTTTGTAGCCCAAAACTTGAATTTGCCTTTCCTCAAAGCACTCCAAGTTTTCTAATGAAAAGGGGGGAGGGGGTTTCCTAGTTACCAGAATGTAGAGAACAATCATGAATTTTCATATTCTGATGATTTTCCGATGGTGAGCTTTCCACAGCAGGTGGAAGTACTGGACACCGGAGCAGACAAGACTTAGACTAAGTTAGAGCCGAGCCGAGGTTGTCAGAAAGAATGTGGGACTAGGTATTGAGGACGATAATGATTAGAAGGCTCCTATCTTTTTTACTTAGCAATGGTCGATCTGTGTTGACTATGTTAGAAGACCTGTTTGTTACACAAACAGGAATCCTGAGACTGAATGCATGTCTGTCAATGATTAAGCTGTACCACACCAATTTCATGGTAGCATTACAGAAAAATGTGGCCTTTTTTTACCTGTAGGATAGATAAGCAGTTACAATATTTATATATCCTTTTACTTTTTTTGTAAATGGTTGTTCCCCCATAGAGTCCATTCCGCGTCACCGTGTGGGTTTTTTCTCCATGTTTGTAATACTTTTGAATTATTTAGAAGAAAAGAATACCCCAGTAACAAAAGTTCTAAATGTTTCAAAAACTTGAAAATAAAAAATTTGAATATATTTGAATTCATTTAGATATTTATAAAAAATTTTGAAAGTGGCTGTAGATTTACAAAGATCTCTTTATTTAGAATAAATTTGAACTGCCCATGTGCTTCTTTCACTATTCGAAATATTTAGAACTATTTACAACAAATGACCAAATGGTAGATGTGGGTTATTGCCCCATAAAAGTAGGTGCTAATCCAACTCTTCTGTCTTCTTCTGTATATTTTTAGATTTCACTGCTGGACACTGGTGGCTCTTTTGTTGTAAGGCATCAATGCCTGACGCCCAGGCACTCTACCCTGTACTTCACAGGGATGTGTGAATTACTTCCTTCCCATCCCACTGACCTATTTACAAAATGTTAGAAATAATTCGAAATAATGGTAAAAAATGGTAGAGTGCTGTTAGAAATATTTAGAAACTATTGGAAATGTCATAATCCACATCAGGAATATTTCAAACGTTTTAGAAAACCAGGGAATTGTTTAGAATATTGACAAGCTGTTCAAAATATTTCCAAATTATGAAATTTCTTAGACAAACAATTACAAAGAATTCAAAACATTTCTAAATAATGACAATAACAACCCACTCGGTGACGCGGAATTGACTCTATTTGAAATTCTTGTCAAAGTACAGAAAAGTCATTTGAAAATTACCACACATATCTGACCCAGATTAATGTGATAACGTCATCGCAACTTTCTGTAGAAGAAAACAGCATACTTGAGAAAGACTTAGTTGTATCTAGATTTCAAGGCACTTCCTCTTGTAACATTTTTTTCATCTAGTATAAAAAGCTAGACTAACTAGGAATGGAAGTATTTGCGTATGTAATTGGCTTTGTTGAGACCCCATTTGGGAACACCATATGGATAACACATTTTGCTCTGTAGTAGAAAGATAAAGATCTCGATCCAGGCAACAATTTCATGGTACATCTGTGGATAGGTTTCACTTTCCTGAAGACATGGCTTTACTCTATAGGGAATTTGTGACCAACAAACAGATTACAAGATCCTTGTTCTCAGAATTTTCTGTGGAGCTAAACAGCCTGGCACCCAGGGTGAAGACATGATGACATGTTTTTGCATAATGAAAAAAAACTATATCAAGACAAAAGCACCATTTTTTTTTTACTTTTTACATTTTTGTTTACTTTTTACATCTTGCATTGTAAGTTAGGACACCAATCTCCCTTTCCCTGTTCTCTTTGCACCCTGCTATGAGAGATTTTAAAGAAAGATCCCTCAATAGACACACAATACACTGCACTACAGTTAACGAAAATCATTTCAGTGCTTTATCTCAAGCACTCGGAGCTACGGCTCGAACACTTGAGTTCGACTTGCTTTACCTTTACCTTAGACACTGAACAGTGACCATAAGACTTAATGTAATTCCAAGAAATTGATCTAAATCCGTAGAAATATTATAACCTCTTTTCAGTAATGTAGGACAAATCGCTTGACAGGGCTGAAACAACCTTACCAAAAACTTCATGCACATGAAAAAGTTGAAATCTTTCTGTTTGGGTCACAATACTAAAAATGCTGATAGTTTCACAAATAAATCATTTGTTGTGCCACACTGGAATATTACGTCATCATTAATTTTTAAACTAAATAAAAATTCTCAATTTCTAATTTTTTGTGGTCCATAAGGAAGGACAAAACCAAGAGGTCAATGATCTTATCTGACTATGAAAATAGGAATTAAAAATGCTACATTCAATCACAAATTGACACTCTACACGCCAAGTTAGTTACTTTCCTGTCAATTCCTCAGCAGTTAGGGAGAAAAATTCCTGACATGTAGTTTGAAAATGCACTTTAAGAATAAAACACTATCCAAACATAAATCATATATCTGAATATTACTAACATATATTATCTTTAGTTGGCACAGAGCAGTGGGTTCTAATGTACATGTAGTGGGGTGAGAGGCTGGAGACAAAATAAAAAGATATTTGTGGGCATCAAGTTTATTGTCAGTACACAGAGAAAGAGAAAAAGTGCCTCAATATTTTACAAAAAAATTGATTCAGGTATTATTTACAGGATTCAGATTAGTGTACCCTTGTGTGCCTAAAATTGGAGCTGTGCACCTAATTTTTGCACCTAGAGTAGACTTTTTTTAGGTTACAGTAAAAGTACAATACACTGTACTTCCAATCAAAAAAATATTTTAAAAAACCTTTGGTGTATTACTTGTTTGAAATTTTTGTAGATGGAACTTAATATAAAGTTTACAAGAGGAGAATTAATTTGGCGTTGCTAATGTTCTACGTTAATTTTACGTTGTGCGCCTAATTGTTTTGGTTTGAGTGCACTAGCCTGTGTGCCAAACCCATAGCACACTGGACACAAAGTATCTCAGTGGGCCTGAGGCTCACTGAGATACTTTGTGTCCAGTGTGATTGGGTTTGGAACCCAGGCTAAGTTGCAGACAGCGCGGAAAGTATTAATTTTTCTGTTTGCACCTGCAAGTATTTTATAAGTTGTTTATTACAGACAAAATCCAACAACCCGGAAAGTTCCATGGAAGAAGAGAGCTGATGGCTTAACTGTGGAAGTTACAACTATCACACAGGCTCTCAAAGTCAAACAGCCTCTGTAGCTGTGGTCCTGTGAGCACCTCTGTGGAGGTTGCAATTTACTCTAGAACTGTGGTCCCAAGTACTAGATAAATCATAAAGGAGAAATACAGATGCTACAGATTTCTCAATAAAATGACATCATGCAATTTGATTCTTGAATTAACTATCATGTTACCTCAACTACTGATCTCAATCTACTTTAACTCTTTCAAAACAACACCAATACCAGCAAACATTCAAATGCAACATCCTAAGAACTGTCCAATAATACCGGGCAATATAGCAATGTTAATTTGGCCACTCTGAAAGTCACTACCGACCATCTGACTATCGGAGCAGACTAAACTAACCAGGATGGTATCAAGGCTAATGTCCATAAGAAATAAATTGAAAATTGACTTCTTCAGCACAGGCAACAACCTGCTAAAAATTTGTGTGGATGAAAAAAGAGAAGCCAGGAGGAATGCAGCAATTTCACGGACATTAGTACCATAACCAGGAATCTGGGTCAGAGACTAGTAGTATGTGTGGTAATTTTCAAATGACCACATGTACTTTGGCAGGAATTTCAAATCTGGGGGAACAACCATTTCCAAAAAAGTACAATTATTACCTCCATGAAATGGAAGGTATTGTTTTTGGCGCGTCTGTGTGTGTGTGTTTGAGTTTCCGCATATTTGTAGTCAGCATAACTCCATAACGCCTTTATGGATTGTGATGATATTTGGTATGC